GCTAAGTCATTTACATCTAAACATATATTATTCACCCTAAGAAAAATGAATGTTTTCTCTCATTGAATCCCATAATTGTTTTATTGCTACATTCTAGAATGTAAATAATCACCCCCCTTTAATAAATTACATGCAACCTGTCTAGCTCTGAAAATGAACATTTCAATATCTTCAGACACACAATGACATCATATCAATATTTAAAATCATATTATGCATGTATTCCTGGTTGTCCAACTTCATTAAGGGCATTCATCAGCCCTCCAGCTACAGTGTATTCCCATTGGAGTTGTAGGCCTCAGGCCCTACCAAACAGAAATTTAAACTAACTTGCCTTTTTAATTCACATTATTCTCAAATATTCTCTTTTTTAACCCCCTGCCATGACTAAGGCACTTAGACCTGGCTATGATTTTGTGCATGTCAACATTTAACAGACAAAATCCTCATTATTATGTCAGAACATATGTGCATGAGAATAACACAATTTCTCCCTCTCCCTTTCTCCACCTGGCCCCTTCCCTCTTTTTGGGTACAATAATAATCTTATTATCTTTTGCTCTAAAATAAGTTAATAATTTGAGCCACTTTTTTAAAAAAACGGCACAAGTTGCAAACAAATTAAATTTCATTATTTTTGCATCTCTTCCCAAAACAAATCTCTTGATCTATTTTTTATATAGCTGAGCCTATGCAGCGTGAATGCATATCCTTTATGGTGGCATCAAATGTTGATGTATCAGTACATTTCTTTTTTCCCCACAAAAATAAACAGGTTTCTTGTTATGTTCAGCAGTATGATTACAGTTCTCTTCTCAATGCCAGAATGACCTTGAAAATGAAAGAGAGACATTCTGATACAGAAACAGTGGAGGAAAGAGGACGTTGCATCAGTGCACGGGTTTGCTTCTGACCAGATGCTACAGGCAATAGTTTAATCCCCTGACTTATTTGCGAGGAGTTCAGTGAAAGTAATCCAGTATCCATCATGTCTGAAAAAGAAGTTTGGTAACAAAAGGGGGTGTCCAGGTAACTGTGATATGTGTATCGAGGGTTCTCTCCCAGGAGATGTTGGTGATTTTAATGTTTAAGTCAGTGCAATGTAACTGGGTGCTATATCCAAGAACCTTTTAATCACGTCATACAGATTTGTATACCTAGCCAAGGGCTGAAGAACTTCACAAGCTTTCCCAGAGCGGTCACATATCAGTAGCCTTCAAAGAGGGAAGGCAAAAAGGAGGGAAAGAAGAAAGGGAAAATATAAGATCACACACAGGGTCAGTTTTCAGCTGTATCTTTTTTTGTAAGTTACATTTGCTTATATAGTTTTGTTCTGTTTCATTCCTTCTTTCTCTCTCTCTTCCTCTCATTTGTCTCTTGTCTCCTCCCTTTTATTTTCTTGGGATCATTTTTCTCTCTCTGTTGGTCCTGTGTTCCTCTTCCTTCTTTTGTTCTTGCTTCTCTCCTACACTGATTCTTTTTCTGTTCCCTTACTCTATATTCCCATCCTTTCTCGTGCCCTAAATGCAAGAGAATCCCATCCCCCTTCTAGTCAGACTTTTGCAAATTCTCTTATCTCAGCAACACTAGTCTTTGATGAAATATAGTAGACTTCTTCTCCCCTGCCTGCCCTCTGATCCCTCTGGACAGCTGTACAACAGGTGTGGAGAAGGATCAAAGTGGCTTCTCGTTGCATCCCTGTCAAGGGTCAGATAGAATCTTACTCTATCATTTTCTGTATGAGTTCTTGCAACAGATTCATCATTGGAGTATTTGAGCACTTTCTAGTAGTACATTCAGTAGTCTGACTAATGTGTTATGTTTATTCACACACATAGCTATATGCAGTGGTGCGGGAACAATATTTGGAGTGGAGGTGCTAAACTGCACCCCCCTTTGTCTGTGTCCGTACCCATCACTACCCATTAGAACTGGGGCCAGTGCCAGGACGTTGGGCCCAGCAGCTAGGTGGGGTCCAGGGCTGGTGGTTTAATATCAGTATGACACGTTTAAGCGATATTAAGATAAGATCATTTTAGTGCTTGAAATTACCAGGACAAGGGAAAAAAAGACCTAGACCTTTGACACATTACAGGATTGATAAGGATGTTAAGGACTAGTCGACTATCTGGTAAGATTTGTTTTTTGGATAGTTGAGTTGACTAGTCACTTCCCCCCCTTGCTGCCTCTATTATATAGAGGCAGCAAAGCAGGGGAGGGAAGAGGGGCTACTTCAAAGTGGCGGCACTGGGGTGGCATTTCAAAGGGAAGCGAAGCCCTCCTGGGAAACAACGGACCTGGCAATTGAGACCGTGAGCAACAGGGGCATGGGGCTGGGATGTCCAAAACCTGGGGGTGCTACAGCGCCCCCTGCATTCCTACTCCCTGTGCTTATGCTATATGTTTCGGAAAGCTAAGGTCAAGGAAATGAGCTAGCATGGTTTTTTTAAGTGTAGCTGCAGCAATGTTGATGATGGGATGGGGTAGCTGTTGAGTATTAAATTGAGTTGTACTTGGGGTTGTTAGCCCATCCTTCTGCCAGCATTGTGGTAGCCACACTGCTATTTTTGAGCACACTAACTTGAGGAAAGCAAGTGTGTGTATGTCTACATGGGGTGAATATTACATGTGCAGATGCTGAATGGAAGGTGCTGAGTTTGAGGGGAGAACATTGCACAGTCTTGGGCCACTCATGAGAAAACCCTGTCCCCATCTTGTAGAGAGTTCCATTGTGTCCAAGGAGCAAAGTTTTCATTCTGGGTTTTAGGTGAACTTTCTGGAGATGCTGTCATTGGTGCTAGACACTCCAAGGAGGGGAGGACAAGGCAGAGTAATGGCTTGGTTTCCTTATCTGTGCTCACCAGCAGAACTAACCCAGGGCCAAAATGATTTGCCCTCCCAGTTGTTGGAGCTGCTCCTCTTGTATGTTTTGCATGAGGGTGCCAGCAGGCATTCTCGACTGAGTGAGCTGGAATTGTTCATGGGAGTCACGCTCCTGCGCAGACTCGCACAGGTGTGCAGCATGATTGAAGTACGTGGTGATTGCAGCCGTGTAAGCAAGGTCAGAGTTGGTTCCTCAGTCTTAAGAAAAAAGAATCCTCAGGAAATGTGGGTGTGCATATTAAAACTGCCCCAGTAGGCAGCTCTGACATGTGGGGCTGCCTGGCACAAGCACAGCACATAATAACACAAAGTCTTTGGCAGAGTTACAGGGCTAATCTTTATATAACTGTTCCCGAACAACTCTTCTAATGTACTAAGTACAAACAAGCTTTCCATCAACATTAGGCTGCATGCAGATCATCCTGTGTCACCTGTTCCTACTGAAGAAACACTATCTCCATGGCAAGGAAAACCTCATTCTGCATTGTAGCTGATTCTCCCCAAATGATCACTCAGAGTATTAATGAAACATGGGCTGGTGATTGATTTTAATGCCGTTTTGTGATTTATTTTTTTTTGTGGGTAAAGGGGAGAACTGAAGGGATGTTCAACTCAGTTTTTAACTTCTTGCTTCCATAGGTTGTTTCCTAAACCAGTTTATCAAAATGCATGGAGGAGAAATGGTCTTGTGGTTAAGGCCTGGCCTGACATTTCTTCTTGTGGAATGTTAGGCCAATTGCATAATCACTCATTGCCTCAGTTTCCCCTCTGTAAAATGTGACTGATACCCTTCCTTTTATTTGTCTTGTCAGATTTGTATGTAAGCTCTTTGGGGGCATGCATGACCCGTCTCCTTGTATGTGTTTGTACAGCACCTAGCACAAAGGGGCCTGATCTCAGTCAGGGGTCCATTTAAAACATATAGTAGTAATCATAGTAGTAATAATGCAAGTCATGATCATAACAGAAAGAAGAAAATAAAACCTGAATCTCAAGATAAGGATGTGAACCTGAGCAGACTGTACTAAAAGATTTCCTGCCCTTTATCCCAAATGATCAGTCAGGTGTTAGCTACTTCTTTTGTTAAGTGACTTATCTCTTTATATAGTCACACAGTATTTCCACATTTGTAAACTGGATTTAGTTCCACGGCTCAGACATCTTCACCCATAGACTAGTCTAAAGTTCCTTGATTTGGGTGTTCTTTTTACTCAGTATCATAAAGCCAAAAATATATGAACTGCTGCACTGAAGAACCATGTGGCAAATGAATAAAATCATGCAAGTTTCTGAAAGCTGGAGGAGTGCCATAATTTTATTGGCAATGGAGCTTATTCTTCTTTTCCCCTTTGAGCTGGGCCTGCATTCCACAGACAAAAAAAACCTTCATGGAATTTTACCAGCATCAGATTTGATTGTCAGCTTGAGGATTTCCACTGGCAGCAGGTACAAGAGGGACATCGCTTATTCCGCTATATCCAATGAAAGACTACTTCTGGCTGGCTCTGGGGGCAGTCCTCAAATGCATGCTGCAAAGCGCTGCCTCAGAAATGGACTTGGTAGATTTGTGGAGCAATCATTAGCAAAAGTTGAATACGGAGAGGAGAGGTTCAGATAAATGGTATTTGCAACCCCAAATAGCTCAGAAATCATGAGTCACCCCTTCCCTCCCCAGGCCCACTGATGTGGGTGTACGGGCATGGAAGGACAAAGAAGGCAGTTGCCCCAGGGCCCAGTGATTCAAAGGGATTTGCGGCTCCTGTCCACCACACTGGTTACTGAAGCAGTGGTGGCAAGCAGAGCCCTAAGTGTGGCTCTGAGGTCTTGGGGAGCGGGGCTCTGCGCTGGCTGCCCCAGCTTGCCTAGGGGCCTACAGAGTCTGTCACTCCTCTGTCCCTCCCCATGAGATTGGTTTAAAAGATGAGATTGTTTTAAATATATAATTTTGGTGTCCTCTTTATTTGCTGTCTTGAATTTTGAGTCTCTGGCATATTCTCCTCTTACATTTTTAAGATTTTATCTTCCAGCATGGGGGCTAGGAATTTACTTTTATTTTACATGAAAGCTAAGATTCTTCCTTGATCACATGCCTCCAGGAGCAGACACTTTAAGAAGAACTTCAACTATTGCAAGACTCGCAATAAGATCACAAGCATTGGAAATGGCTTTGCTTCAGCAAGAGAGAATCAATAAGGTAAAATTGTTAATTAGTCGTGGACAAATGAGGGCAGTATTCTTGCCAGCATGTTAAAGAAGTATGGATTGATGAATGAACTGTAAGGTGGATAGAATGCTGGCTAGATTGTTGGGCTCCCAGGGTAGTGATCAATGGCTTGATATCTGGTTGGCAGCAAGTGTCAAGTGGCATGGCCCAAGGTTCAGTCCTCGGCTATGGCTACACTGCCATGCTTTTCCGGAAGAGGATATGCAAATGGAGTGCTCATTTGCATATCTTCTTCTGATTCTTTTTGTGGAAGAGGTTTGTGTGCAAAAAAGTCCCGCACTGACGGCGCCTTTTTGCGCAAAACCCCCCTTTTGTGCAAGATCCCTTCTTCCTCAAAAATTGAGGTGTACAGGATCTTGTGCTAAAGGGGCTTTTTGCACAAAAAGGCACCATCAACACAAGGCTTTTTTGCGCAAAAACCTCTTCCTCAAAAAGAATCGGAAGAAGATATGCAAATGAGCGCACCATTTGCATATCCTCTTCCGGAAAAACACGGCAGTGTAGTTATAGCCCTGGTGCTGGTTTTGTTCAACATTTTCATTAATTATCTGGATGATGGAAAGGACTGCACCATCAGCAAGTTTGCAGATGACACAAAGCTGGGATAAGAGATAGATACACTGAAGGGTAAGGAGAGGGTCCTGAATGACCTAGACAAATTGGAGGATTGGACCAAAAGAAATATGATGAGATTTAGCAAGTCAAGTGCAGAGTCCTGAATTTAGGATGGAAGAATCCCAAGCACTGCTACTAGCTGGGTGCTGAGTGGATAAGTGGCAGTTTTGCAGAAAAGAACTGGGAGTTACAGTGGACAAGAAGCTGGATATGAGTCAACAATGTGCTCTCATTGCCAAGAAGGCTAATGGTATATTGAGCTGCATTAGTTGGATCACTGCCAGCAAGTAAAGGACAATGACTATTCCCCTCAATTCGCCACTGGTGAGACCACATCTGGAGTATTGCATCCAGTTCTGGCCCCCCCACTACAGAAAGGATGTGGACAAATTGAAGAGCATCCAGTGTTGGGCAACAAAAATGTGTAGGGGATGGGGCACATGACTTATAAGAGGAGGCTGAGGGGAAGATACATAGTTGGCAGAAGAGAAGAATGAGAGGGGATTTGATAGCAGCCTTCAGTTACCTGAAGGGGGGTTCCAAAAAGGATGGAGAGAGGCTGTTCAATGGTGACAGATAATAGAACAAGGAAAAATGGTCTCAAGGTGCAGTGGGGATGTGCTAGGTTGGATATTAGGAAAAACTATTTCACTTGTAAGGTGGTGAAGCATTGGAATGGGTTGCATAGGGAGTTGGTGGAATCTCCATCCTTAGAGGTTTTTAAGGCCTGGCTTGACAGAGCCCTGCCTGGAATGGTTTAGTTGAGGTTGGTCCTGCTCTATCACATCACTCTGCTGCTGTAGTTATTGATGTTTGAACCAAAGAAAAGGTCAACAAACTAGATGGGAGAAAAGCAATGGAGGGGTGATATATATATAGAGAGAGAGGTGAAGGGCTGATATATATTTAATCTCCTTGGAGGTGTCAATATTTTTTCTCCTCTTTCACTATCCTGCTTACTCCTTTTTTATTTTTAACTATAAACATTTTCTCCAAGGGTGCTTTTTTTTAGGATGGGGTGACTTGTTGCATTTTTAAATCAGTCATGTGTTCAACTGCAACAGGAGAATGCTATTTGAGTCATTTCCAAAATGAAGTGTTTTTTTTAAATTGAAGTGCTCCAATAATTTTAAATTGTTCGGCATAGTGCATGCCCAGAACTCTAAGCCTTTCCAAATGCAGTGCTTCACAATTTTTTTAAAGAGCACTTCATTTTGGAAGTGAATAGGGTGTTCTGGGCATGTGCACAGTAGACCAATTTAGGTTTCCTAGATTGCTTCAATAATTTGAAGAGTACTCCAGTCACTTTTAACTATTTCCCACTACCCATGCCTGTAACTCCATTCATTTCTGAACTGAAGTAATTTTATATTTAGGGCAAATCCTAAATATTCAGTTCAAATTATCCATGCTGCATATTAACATATCCCTAATTCAATTTGTTTTATGTTTAATGCAGTATTTCTCTGTAAAAATACTATGTAACACACAGTGCCATAACATTACAGTAACATTTGGATTACCAAGCATTTCCTGTTATCTGAAATGGAGTCATGTCCCTGGTATCAGTTCATTACATAGAAAATTCCCTTGATTAACTAAAAACCTAGGTCATTCACATTTATTCAGTGTTCCACACTCTCACATGAAGATCATATTTGTACAGTGATATTATATCCAGGGATCTCAAAACACTGAAAACATTTAGGAATTAAAACATACAACACACCATTGTGACAGGCATATTATTGTCCCTGTTTTATATGTAATGAACTTATGTACCAAAAAGCTGCCCTGGGTTCCATGTTCCAGTCAGGGTGGCCTGGGGGTTAGCACCAGTTGCAGGGATTAGGCCCACCCCCATTCTCTCCTGTGGTGGTGGGAGCAGCAGGAAATGGAGTAACCCAGCTCTAGCCTGCTCCACTCTGCCATCTCCCAACCAGGTCCCCACACTTCACCTCAGCAGCAGGAAGCAGAGTAATTCAGCCCTATCCCACTCCACTCCCCTGAGCAATGTGTCTGGGAGCTGCAGGCTGGGTCTGGGTCACTCCATTTCCTGCTGCCACAGTGAGTGCGTGTGTGGGAACCTCCTGTTGCCAATGCCAGGTCCACCAGTAATCTCCCAGATTGCAACACTCAGGGAAGGAGGCTTGAGAGAATGGATGCAGTGGGGTTCAGCGGAGACAGGAAGATGCAGGGTGGAGCAGTAAAAGTGAAGGGCTTGGTTTGGTGGTGGGGGAGGGGCGGAGCAGGGGCAGACTGGGGGACGGACAAGCCCTGCCTGGGACAGAGGAATGGTTGTCCTGGGCCTTGCACCCCACTTGGGATGGTCCAGCCAAAGATCATTCAGTGGCAGAACACCACAACAGTCAGCAGCCTTCACTGCCAATCCATTGTGCTAATGGCGGCACCAGACTAAATGTTGAAATGACTAAGTGAAAAAGTGACAGCATTCTACAGGGACTAGTATTCTGGGAATGAGTTTCTGTGGTTGATGGGGTAAGATTTTAGTGATAGCAACAGCACCTACTCACAGACATGGTGTCAGCCGAGCCCAGTGCTCCTGGGAATACATGTTCCTGGTGCCCCAAAATAATTAGTTTGTGTCTTTAAAGCAGCCTGTTATTTCAAAATAGATTTCAAAATAATGGGTGTGCTATTCTGGCATCCCTGTAACCCTTGCTCCACAAGGGTTAAGGGACGTTTTGAACTAGTGCTTTATTTCAAAATTACCTCAAAATAAACTACACAATTTGCATAACGCAAATTGCGTAGCTTATTTCGAGGTAAAGGTGCAGTGTAGACACACCCAAAGAGAGAAAAAGCTACTCCAAAGAGAAGAGATATGAGCTCTGCTAGTAGAATATCATGCCCTTTTCTCAGGCCCCAGTGTCTCTCTCTCTCTCTTTCTTTTCATTTTACTCTTAATCAGGGTGTAATTTGAACTGGGGTGCTACTGGAATATTCCTACCATCATGGGAATACCCCAGCCAGCATGACCACACAAATACACATGGGCTACGTCTAGACTGGCATGATTTTCTGGAAATGCTTTTAACGGAAAAGTTTTCTGTTAAAAGCATTTTCGGAAAAGAGCGTCTAGATTGGCACGGATGCTTTTCCGCAAAAGCAGTTTTTGCGGAAAAGCGTCCGTGCCGATCTAGATGCGCTTTTCCGCAAAAAAGCTCCTATCGCCATTTTCGCGATCGGGGCTTTTTTGCGGAAAATAAATCTCAGCTGTCTACACTGGCCCTTTTGTGCAAAACTTTTGCGTAAAAGGGACTTTTGCCTGAATGGGAGCAGTATAGTATTTCCGCAAAAAGCACTGATTTCTTACAGTAGGAAGTCAGTGCTTTTGCGGAAATCCAAGTGGCCAGTGTAGACAGCTGGCAAGTTTTTCCGGAAAAGCGGCTGATTTTCCGGAAAAACTGGCCAGTCTAGACACAGCCATGCTGTGTGAATGACCTCACTTCGTTCTATGAACTGGCATCCTCCTTGAAATGTGCATACCCACAAGGTCATGCTGTGCAGAGGATGCCATTTTGAGAACCAAATTCCATCCTGCATGTGACCAAAGTGGTGGTATATCATTCTGGCATAATCCATCCCTGCTACAGCACAGTCTTAATTCACATTTCCATAAAAGAATTTCTAAGAAATAGGAACATCTTGTTCCAGGGAGGCTCTTTGCTGCCTTAGCTAATTAAAGCTTAACAGTAGGGCAGCATCTTGCTTTGCTTTACAGTCCGCCTAATGTCTTATTCAATCATGATCCAGGGTTAACAATATTGGATGGTGGCACAATTTTCATTGTTCCGTATTTAGCATAACTTTTTAGTATATGATTCTCCGTCTCCCATAATAAGAATTAACAAGGAATGAAGTACGTGTGCATGCATTGGATTAGATGAAGCACAGGGACTCTTTACTACTCCCAGGGAACACTGTTATTCTAAGACTGACTTCACTGGCCAAAGGAGGATTATGCCAGCTCAAGGATATTAAGCGGTGTAGAGCCACAATAGCAGATTGTAAAACAAACCCCTCCCTATATCCAGCAGAGGAAACATGCCTAGGACATTCCTGTCCCAGCAATTCCTACCTGCCATGGCAGCCCTTTAAGTCCAAAGGCTGGTGTCACAAGTTAAAACACCTGGGGACCAAACCAGAACAGACCACAGATTCAGGCAATTTCTGAAAATAGCTTATAGCCCTCTTTGCACTGCCTGCTTTTCAGCTTCACTGTGTACTTCTTAACTGAGGCTGAGAATCTGGCCTAGAAAAAATATTTACTTAAAATAGTGACTATGGATTAGTAAGTGGTGGAGATTATTACTGCTAATTTATCATTATTT